AAATCACTGTTCCTGGAGAATTCAATGAGTGGAAAATCACTTTCTTTTTTCGCCTGTGGGAGCAGCCATGGACCACAAAAAAGGCATTGGAAAGTCACACATGTCCCTCTCAGGCAGTACTTCGCCTACCACTAGTATAGATAAAAGTGAGTTAATATTGAGTTAAATGGGCCCATGATCTGTGTCTGTCTAAAGAAGTCCTGGTTCCATTCCACATTTTAATTTTAAAAAAAGATGTTTATATGCACATCTTTGGATGTGTGATTTCACACAGTTTCAAAACCTGTGTTTGATCCCTTCAGTAACTGTATTCTCAGTGTTGTTAGCTTTACAAACTACCTTTTAATGTTGCAAACCAGGTTGGGTTCTTTTTTAAGGAGAAAGGTAAAAAATAAAAGGTAAAAAAATAAAAAATAAAAATAAAAGGTAAAAATATTTTAAATACATTAAATTAAAAAAGAAATTGCACATCTGCATACACGGATGGAGGCACAAAGGAGGGGGGGAAAGGAAAACTAATCAAGGGACAGCAAGGGGATGGTGAATGGGAGAAAAGGTGAAGGAACAGGCAGAGGTAAATCCACAGGCTTGGATCCTGAGTTCCATGGAGGCTCTGCGGAACAGCGAAGTATTTACAAAAAACAGAGCAACAAAAGCCACACCAGACTGGGTTCCATTTTAAACTGCAATAAGGCTTGACATCACAGTACATAATTGGAGATGCTACGGATCTAATCTGCTTTTTCCAACAGGGTAGTTGTGGCCCCAGTGTGTGATGGGGGGGGAAAGGGGCTCAAGTCAAGGGTACAGCCTCGTGGCGCAGTGGTTAAACTGCTGTACTGCAGCCAAAACTGTGCTCACGACCTGGGGTTCAATCCCAGGTAGCCGGCTCAAGGTTGACTCAGCCTTCTATCCTTCCGAGGTTGGTAAAATGAGTACCCAGCTCGCTGGGGAGGGGGCAATGTGTAGCCTGCATAATTAACTTGTAAACCGCCCAGAGAGTGCTTGAAGTGCTATGGAGCGGTATACAAGCAGCATGCTTTGCTTTTGCTTTGCTTTGTTTTTTACCTCTTTGGGAGTGGCCACCCTCAACAAGGAGGCCTGTGAAGAATGGTGGCATGGGTATAGGTTCCTGTGCCAGAAAACAGAAAAAAGAAGGGTGAGTTGGGGTGGGGGGCTTGCTGCATTAGGAGTATGTGAAGACTCCAAGTCCTAATCAAATGTCTATTGTAATAGAAGGTGGACATATCAAACAGATGACAGATAGTTGAAAGTAATAGGTAAATTGCCCTGTCGAGCCACAATTGAATCAACAATTTTTGCATCAAATTCAAAGTGAATTTTAAAGACGTTATTCAAGAAGCTTTCACTGGCAAATGCATATTGCTATTTTAGTTTTTAATCCACCTTCTCCACCCAACAGTATCTATTTGGTACTACAAGCGGCAGAGCTCTGTAAACAGGGTGTAACTTCTTACAATTTAATCCGATTGCTTGGGTTTCCCAACAGAATTAGGAGATTAGCGAGTCAGTCTGCACCATCAAAAAAATGCTGTCCCTAAAAAGGGGAAGGAAAGAGAATAAGCTACTTAGCACCACCTGATCTACAAAGTTACACAAGCGTAGTGTATCAACAGGTCACTTCTCCTCCAAAAGCAGTTCTTCCATCACTCTCTGTTTACAAAGTCAAGTTTTCTTTGCTTCCTTCCCCTCCACATAATACAAATTACCACACAGCCTACACAAACAGTCTCAGAATGCAGATGGTCAGCATCTGAAAGAAATCAAAACTTCACTGGCTTGAGCCTTATTTTCTCAAAGCTCTTAGCAAGTATCTTTCTGCCAACAGAATGTATGACTGCATGACGGTAGAGACAACTAGTGCCCAGGCCTGGGTGTTCCAGACAGGGAGAACAGAAGCTGTTCAACATGATTACAAGAGGACATTTCAAAGTGGGACTCCCATTAAAATGAGTACTCGCTGGGGAGGGGGCAATGTGTAGCCTGCATAATTAACTTGTAAACCGCCCAGAGAGTGCTTGAAGTGCTATGGAGCGGTATACAAGCAGCATGCTTTGCTTTTGCTTTGCTTTGTTTTTTACCTCTTTGGGAGTGGCCACCCTCAACAAGGAGGCCTGTGAAGAATGGTGGCATGGGTATAAGTTCCTGTGCCAGAAAACAGAAAAAAGAAGGGTGAGTTGGGGTGGGGGGCTTGCTGCATTAGGAGTATGTGAAGACTCCAAGTCCTAATCAAATGTCTATTGTAATAGAAGGTGGACATATCAAACAGATGACAGATAGTTGAAAGTAATAGTTAAATTGCCCTGTCGAGCCACAATTGAATCAACAATTTTTGCATCAAATTCAAAGTGAATTTTAAAGACGTTATTCAAGAAGCTTTCACTGGCAAATGCATATTGCTATTTTAGTTTTTAATCCACCTTCTCCACCCAACAGTATCTATTTGGTACTACAAGCGGCAGAGCTCTGTAAACAGGGTGTAACTTCTTACAATTTAATCCGATTGCTTGGGTTTCCCAACAGAATTAGGAGATTAGCGAGTCAGTCTGCACCATCAAAAAAATGCTGTCCCTAAAAAGGGGAAGGAAAGAGAATAAGCTACTTAGCACCACCTGATCTACAAAGTTACACAAGCGTAGTGTATCAACAGGTCACTTCTCCTCCAAAAGCAGTTCTTCCATCACTCTCTGTTTACAAAGTCAAGTTTTCTTTGCTTCCTTCCCCTCCACATAATACAAATTACCACACAGCCTACACAAACAGTCTCAGAATGCAGATGGTCAGCATCTGAAAGAAATCAAAACTTCACTGGCTTGAGCCTTATTTTCTCAAAGCTCTTAGCAAGTATCTTTCTGCCAACAGAATGTATGACTGCATGACGGTAGAGACAACTAGTGCCCAGGCCTGGGTGTTCCAGACAGGGAGAACAGAAGCTGTTCAACATGATTACAAGAGGACATTTCAAAGTGGGACTCCCATTTGCACACAGAAAGACGCTACCAGTTTTGACCACAGGAAAAAAAGACTTCTGGAGAGATGTGAAATTTAAAATCTATTTCTATTATTAGCTCGTTTATTCCCCCAAGATTAATGCCAAATACCCCAATACAGTATAATCATCTCAAATTACCCTTTAGATTACATCCCAGAGTAATATTTAATTCATGACTCAGTCTTAATACTGGCAAAGTAATAATCATGAATGTTCATAATCAATCTTCCCTTACAAATTCCAAATTTACAAAATACATTCACTATAGAAGTATTTCTCATGTTTAGTGTTATTCCTCATATTTCAGCATGGAAATGGAAATGAACATAGGCAAACATAGGCCAAAATCCTGTTGCCTAGTGCACTGAAGTATGCCCATAAAGTATGCCAATTGAAACAATGGGGACCTAGTGTGTCAACTCCTCTGTAAGATCCATTGATTCAAATGTGCCTACTCTAACTGCAAATTACTAATGCTAAAGTAAACTGCTGTTAGAATAGACCCATTTGAATCAAGGGAACTTGTGAAGGAGTTGACTTATTAAGCCCCCTTACTAAGGTTTATCTCACAGAACCGTTTTAGAGGTACCAATAAAACTATATAGCACACGTGCATCCCATGTATGTAAAAATTAATATTTACATATATCTTTTGTCTTTTAGTTAACTTTGATATGGGAATGTTAGACTTCCCTTGTAACATTGTATTTTATATTGTTTTTTACATTTATATTGTTTTATATTTTATATATTTTTATATTTTATATTGTTTTGTCTATATTTCCTTCTGATATTTTGAACCCATCAGATTGTGTTCAAAAACTTACATAGGTTAATTTTCTCTTGGGCTTTATTCCTAGGAATAAAGACCCTGCTTCGAAGCAATGTCTCCAGAACGGGAATGTCAGTGTAAGAAACCTCCTCTGACAACAGAAGAATATTGGGGAAGGGAGGACAACAACCACCCAATGCTGTGCTTCCACACCAGAAGACATGTTTTCAGTTCCAAAGTGTGTATATTCCTTATGTAATTTTCAGTAAAGCTGGGAAAAGTTGAAGGCAACAAGAAAAGAGGATGGCTAAATAAGAGATGGATTGGCTCTATAAAGGAAACCACAGCCTTAAGTTTGCTGAGCAAGGCTGATGATAGGATCTTCTGGAAGTCACTAACTTATAAGACTGCTGTAACAACAATTCTTCTAGGACAAAAGAAAACAACACACACGTATGGATGGATTGTAAAGCACAATTTAGAGATACAGTACAGTACAGTAGAAATGCCTAGTCCTTTGTTTTAATTACTAAGATCACAGTAGGCTCAATATCTTCATTTGGAGAACGCAACGAATAACATGGTTAGCAAAAAGTATCATCCTTTTTGACACCCCAGCACCAACCCACCAACTATGCCCGTACACACAGTCATCCAGTGTAAAACTTAATGGCATTTGGATCCTATCCTTCAGAAATGCAGCCAAGCATCCGAACAAACAGATCTGCTTCAGACTTCCACAGAATCTCTGGAAAACTATTTGGAAAAAAAAATGCAATGTTGCTTCATAGAGTGGTTGCCTTAATATGAACCTCTATCCATTCAAAGCACAAATGGGCTTGAGCCCACCTAAAGGCATTCTTGGATCCTGAGGAATGTTGTACCCCCATTAGAAAGGGAAAGCCTTTATTTTATCTTGAAATTGCAAATCTCTAGCAGTCTCTCTAAAAGCCCTGGCACTGACCTGGCTCATGTTCCAGTGTGAGACTATGGAGCCTATGGTTAGGGCAACATACTAAGAAATAAAACTGCTTACAAAAACCATTTTGTTCAGGAATGCACCATGGCAACAGAAGATAGGTTCAAGATGTTCCCAAGTAGCCTAAATCATATGCAGATGTACATACATCATGCACAGTCAAAATGAATTAAGGCAAGAACTCACACAAGAAAAAAGATGGTGAAAAACAAAGCATGCAGTAATATTTTACATACCTTGTAGTGGCACCTGTTGCTTTCCACGATAAGAAATCTGGAAGATCAAAGAAGTGTCCTGCCTTTTCCCAGCAAGACTCTCTCAAATTCTGCCAATATTTTTTTTAAAGGACAAAGATAAGAAACAGTTTTAATGCCTTATAATTTTAAAACAAATTTAAATCATATGCAATTAACCAAGAGAAACATCAGAATTACCTCTTCCCTGCACCTAAACCATTTGCACATTGACAGAACATATGTAGGATTATTCTGACTTTATCTGTACCTTCTTTTTCTTTCCAAGAGGGGATGCTGACAACAAAACCAATAGTTTCTCAAGGACATTTTTACAGGCCACCATTGCAACCACCACAGAAGAACTACAAAACTACAGTCTTCCAAAAACATTAAATTCTGGATACATGTGTGTGTGGCTTTTCCATTCAGCATGTGACAGCTACCATGGGCAATGACAATAAGGAACAGTGGCATTGTTTTTAAAAGCCATAATCCAGGTAACAAAGCAAATAACATAATACAAATAAAAAAGAGAATAAGATAAACGAATGCACTAGATTAATTTACTAACTACTGGCCCAAATCCTGGTGCATAGTCACACAAATGGAATACGTTTGGAGGCAAATAACGCAAAATCACCACAGACATTATCAGCGACATGCTGAATCATACAATTAACTATGCAACTGAACATGTTTACAGTGAATTTTATAACTTGGGGCAATCACAAGGTGTTTTGGAATTGTTTGTTCTACACCAGAATAACTAGGCAAGAGGTTTGGGCTATTGACTGCTAGTGGATAAATGTGACTGCTGACAGCTACTCACATTTGTTTTAATTACAGTTCCATTAGAATTATAGTTGCCTAAACAGTGTCTGTTAAGATGTTCTCCTCTCCCTTGTGTAACCCTTCATACTATACAAAACATGCTCTGGAGGGTCTCTCAGTAAGCTTTATCACATTTTGACAATACATGGGGGTCCATGGAGGACCTAGTTTCACCCACAAAAACAGTTCTGAAACTAGCACGATTATGTCAGAAGGATGGCCTATCAATCAATCAATCAATCAATCAATCAATCAATCAATCAATCAATCAATGAATCAATGTCTGATTCCCACCCTCTCAATTTCATAGCACTCAAAGTGTTTGACCCTCAATGTCTTTTCATCCCATGTATCTTCCTGATTTCCATAATGTAGGTGTTGTTGTTTTTTTGTCAAAATCATGTACACCCCGTTTTACTCTGTGACAGTATCAGCAATATACATTTCTCTCACTACGCAAGTATAATTATCTGGGGAGGAGAAGCGCCAGTCAGGAAACCCTGGAATCAAAATCTTTTTTTTTAAAAACAAAAAGAAAAGAAAAGCAAGCACCTTCAGGAACACATAACTTGGGCTGAGACAGGCTGAGATACAGTCAGCGTATTTTCGGCAAGAATTACTGAACATCTTTGAGCAGCTTATTTTGGTTTCCTTTCAAAGAGGCCAGGCCAAGGAGGTCAGTGCTGCCAAATGAGTCAGGGTTGTGCTTCACTTAGAGCAAGCAAGACAAGGTGGAGGAACAATTCTTGAGAATACATATTTCTCTTGGGGCTTTGTGTCAACAAGGGCAGGCTTTTGATTAATATGTAGTGTGCAATTCTAAACAAATCTAACTATTCAGTAAAGGGAAAAATAAGTGGGCCCAGGGTATTCATTTCACTGCTCTACATCTCCAAAAGCGACAATGAAGTGTGTCCCTTTAAGAGTAAGTGATTCATGCTCATCATGAAAGCAATTTGTCATCAGTGATTAGTACTGACAAATACATCAAGCTCTGTTATATGCTTCTACAATAGGACAATAATCTCCATGTATTGGGGGATAATTATAATTCACAGATCTATTTGCATTACCCCCACGCAGTTAACAAGTGTACCAAAATCCCGTGGGAGGGCCCCAAAAAAAGTCTTCAGTTCAGCAATTCATGTCCTGTAAAGCTCCCTCTGTAGCCCCAGGCAAAGACATTTAGCTGTTTTTTTTCCGGGAGACCCCAGGCTTCCTTCCCTCAGTCCTCTCTTGCTTTGCCAGATTCCACCCACTACAGGGCAATTTAAACAGATCCTCATGAGGACAGCTCTCTGCTCAGCTGATAGCCAGCATCTAAGCTGGCTTCTTGCAATTGAAATAAATAGTCCTATTCAGGCATTACAGTAAAGAGGAGAGAGTGCTGTAGCCCTGCCCCCTCCCCTAGATATGAATCTAAAGAGGAGATTCTCTGCTATTCATGAGAGCTTTCTATATGATTTGTGGTCCTGATTTTCCAAGGTCTGTATATTTACTCATATATTTACAACATATATTCTCATGCAGTGAAAGACAGAAAATACAAGCAATGCCAGCACTTATTCTTTATTTATATCCCATCTTTCTCCTGTTACTGGGATCCAAGGTGGCTACTTGCTTAGATTCTTCTGCATTATTACTGTTCTTATATTTAAATTTTAATCATACTGCTACTGGATTGAGTAGTATTTTATTTAAATTTGAATAATAACACTTAACTATGACTCTATTTGGGAATGTTCATTTAAATCAGCATACTCAAATTTAATTTTAATTTAATGCAAAAATATCTTTCTTTCTGGTGATATCTTTCTTCTTTTAATTTTCTCCTCCTCCTCTTCTCTCTCTCTCTCTCTCTCTCTCTCTCTCTCATAGCCATGATCACCCCGTTAACTCCTCAGAAAAGCCCTAGCCACCGAATCCAATGTTTCCTTGCACCACGACCAAGGAGCTCTCCCCCCCCCCGTTTAATCTTTGGACCTTAACCAGGAAACATTGTTTTTGCTTTTAATCTCCACAACACAGAGACATGAATGAGTAACCCATTTACCAGATGTGAGGGCATACCTGAGGGTCATCTCCAGGGTAATGAAAGTGTTAGGTTTACTCGAACACTTTTACTCTCAAATGTTCATGGACTGCTTTGCAAGTGATCTGTATAAACAGAATACCATTTTATCTTTTTCCTAACATGTTTTCCTAAATTATATTTGCTGTAGTTTAATTAAATCTGAGAAGTCTAAGATATGAGCCTACCATCTGTAGGAACCAAAAAGTTGAAAACTAGTTACAGTAATTCATTAATTAAATACCTTCTCAATCTAATAATCAAATAGTGTTTTGTCTGGCCTTGCTGTTTTCCTATGTCTTTTACTTTTCTGACTGAGGTTCCTGCAATTAGGTAAGATTTATTGTACTTAAGCCATGTCAGCAAGATGATTATCTCCTCCGTTATAAACCTCTAAGGAACACAACAAGAGCTTAGGGTGGAGAGAGTTTCTATTGCTCTGAAAACTTTGGTACTGACATTTGCTTCTAAATATCTGAAATACTTTTCCATCCCTAAACACAGTTGTGTTTTTCAACACTAGCTGCTAATTATGCATTAAACATACCAGCCATCAAGGTATTATCTGCTGGTTACTGTAGGTGAGTAAGGAATGTCACAGGCCAAACAGAGAAGTGGTTAGTCTTTCTTTTCCCAACTATTACCTACTCATATGTCACAAATCTGTAAGCTGAATCAAGTCAAAAATGGCTCAGCACTGAGTTTTTTCCCCACACAGGACTCCATCCAAGCAATACCAATGCACAGCAATGCCTTGATTTCTCCTCTGGTTTTTAAATTATTGCCACTATCCTATCCCAACACTGACAAAGCTCTCTTCAGAACTGCTCAAAGCAGACTTAAGTGGAAGTATGTCCCATTCAAAATAATTCTCCTTTAAAATAAATTCAGCACTTCTGCAGTGGCCATCCCAAAAAAGATCGTTTTTGTTGCATCAAATGTATCAGTTGATCAACAGGGGAACAGCACCAGAAAAGCTAAATAGAGGAGCCCTTAAACTGTAAAACCTCGGCATACAAAATTACAACCCAGGGAAGGACTGAAGGCCATCTGAATCAAAATCCCACACAGACTTGTAACAAACAATTTGGACGTATAGGGCATGGTTGGGCGTGGGGGGGTAGTGCAAAGAAATCTTTCCAGAGGCTCAGGCTTGGAAGTGAAAAACAGCTTGGAAATGTTACGATTAAAACTCCCAAAATCCAGACCACTTGAGGTTTCCGTGACCTCCAACCCTAAAAGAGCAACAATTCCATGCCTTGAAAGACAGCTTAAAAAGGGGAAGACCGCAAGAAAGTGTCTGGATATGATGGGCATAGACACACCAACCACTTCACCTCACCTTGAAGAATGTAATCAAGTTTCCTGACCACCAAACCGTCCCTCTCTTCTCAGGGCTTCCCATCCCCTTATCTCCTGCCACTGATCTAAGGGAGCTGGATGGAATGGTTCCCCCTTCCCTCGATTCCTGCCTGCCTGCAGTCTTGCATCAGCTCCCAATACTTCCTTGTGTGCTTCTTCCAAGGCAAGGCAAAGCAGTCCTATTTTGCAACCCCTGCAATCCACAATGTTTCTCTCTCTGTCCCACTGCAACTAGTAGCCACATTAGGTAGCCAATGCACCCACTCCTTCTGCTATCTTACCTACAGTGTCTTGGGTTTTTTACATACTCTAAATTTCACTGGCCTCAGTTAAAGCCCCACTCACCCTACTCCTGTTACAGCTTGGTATAAGTGCAAGGCCTGATAATGTTCTGCTTTTTCACATCATTTAGAATCAGCTATCTGTGACGGCAGTATTACTCTACTCTTATCGGTAATGCCAGCCAGTAAGTTACAAATCTCTCACTGTCTCAAAACTATCTGAAGAATGTTTTTGATATTCAGAGTATCCATGCTTTTCTGGCCATTGTTAAGTCAAAGGTGATGTACTAAAGTATAAAGAACCTTGGGGGGGGGACATTTTAAATGAAGATGTGAAAAGTGTAAATATGGCTTGAATGAGAGAGAAAGAGAGAGAGAGAGAGAGAGAGAGAGAAAGAAAAAGAAAAAGAAAAAGAAAAAGAAAAAGAAAAAGAAAAAGAAAAAGAAAAAGAAAGAAAGAAAGAAAGAAAGAAAGAAAGAAAGAAAGAAAGAAAGAAAGAAAGAAAGAAAGAAAGAAAGAATTCCCCTCGATTATTAATTCCAGTATGCCATGCTCTGGCCTTTTGCCCTATGAAATAAAGAATGTGTAGAGGAAGATCTCTATCTTCTCATATAACACATGAAGTGTGAATGAAGCATGCTAGATCAAGTCTTGGAACATGCCTAACCTAATTATCTATACACGTACACAAAGACAACCCAAAATACCAACCTTCAAGTTAATCCCTGCCCAGTCCATCACCATGTGATGGCTTAACTCTTAAACAGAGAAAGTACATTTTAGAGGTACCTGGCATGTATCATAATTACCATCATTGGAGAAAAAATTGCAAAATCTTGCATTCCCACCAGAATTGACATATATCAATGAACAATGATCAGTGAGTAAATTTAAAGCACCACAAACTCTTTAAATGATATAAAAGCACAAAAGGCACTGCATCCATATGTGGCTTCAGGAATTTCTCCATTATTACTTGTATGGCACTGTCACCACAACTGAAGTGTTGTTCTGATTCCATTAACGTAACATCAGAATCACACATCAAAATTCACGAACTGTTGAGTCAGGGACAGGGAAGGGTTATAAATGATGTTAACAAAAGTGTGTGTTGGACAGTTTTTTAAAAAAAGAAAATGGGTGTGGGTTTTTTTCATGTTTTAATTGCTGAAGAGTAAAAGCATCCAACTTCACAATTACTACAAATATCTTCAGTCTGAGAGTTCCTTTTCATCTTGCTTCCCATCTTTTTTGTTTTCTCACTGACCCTCCTTTCTCTCTCTCCTACATGGCACTCATTTGGTCTTTCCCTGTGTCCTCTTTCTTTCTGCCACTTTACTAGGAGGCAGGACCTTTTCTCTCTAGCCTTTTAATTCTTTACACACTTTGGAGGCCCTGCAGAAGAAATGAGAAAATAAAACAACCTAAAGGCCTTCTGGAAATGAAAAGAAAAATCAGTATCCCAGAACTGATTGCAATTTTGTATCTAGGGGATATTAGGCAAATCTGCCTCTTTGTTGCTGAAAAAAAATACTGAAGTATTTACACAGCCTCAGGGCTACATCATGGCCTTGGTGGGCCACATGTGCCTATGAGTTGCACCATTCTGACCCCTGCTGTACCTTGTGACACTGGGAGGGAAAACTTTTGACATTAAGTGCTATAGCTTTGAAGCCAGAACGGCACTCCACTGCATTTATAACATAACACCAGTAATGTAAAGTGATTAAAAACCTGCTATTGAACATGTCCCCCATTGCAGGAGCTGCCATGATCCCTTACAATTGCCCATGGTCACTAGGGGTCCTGGAAGTTAAAGTTCAGTAAGTCATGAGGACCAAAAGATCCCTCTATCTACCCCAGAGATTTTGGAGAATGTGAGATCTTTCAAAGTAAGTTGTGCCAAAGCCAAGAAGTGACTCAAAAGTCCTTGGCAGTACTCCCTTTCCCCCACTATGGTGCTGTGCCACAAGACAGCTGATACAACCCTATATGGCTTCAAAGATGAGATAAGCTGATTTCCCTCAGCAAGCCAGGATTACAAGATGCCAAATAGACCACAGTACACTTAAGACCCTGTTTCTGCTGCCATAACAGGCAAGCCAGGTGATGTGGACACTTTCAGCGCAGTTTTACAAGAGTATTTTAGTACAGGAAGTTTGCAAAGAGGAGCTCAGCATATTAGAAAAGTTCCAGCTCCCTGGAACTTGCCAGTACTGGTGAAAGCAACAAACAAGCAAGTTGTGGAATGACTCAGCAATATATTGGGACATCAAGCTCTACAGATGGCTATCACACCTCTCCCAAGAAGAAGATTCTTGGATAGAAAGCTGCTGTCAACAGTCATGCTGTATCTTGAAGCACAACAGATTTTATTATAACACACATCCCCAGACTAACTCAGGGGAGGCATGAAAGGTTATCCTCACTTGGTTATCTGTGCTTTTAGCATTCTCTCTCACACACGGAAACACACACACACAGGCAAAAAAACAACAACACCCAAAGCAAATGATAAGGTGGAAGAACTGTGAAATGCCAAACAGTAGCAATAGTTCTCACACATTTCTAAGCAAAACAGATTACTTTCTCAGTAAAGCAAATGGAACTGAGAATATCACTTTCCATTTCTTGGTTTCAAGTCTCTCTCTTTTTGAGAGAGAGAGAGAGAGAGGCAGGATAAAAACCTAATAAGAATAATAACAAAATAAACTAGTCCATCCATTTTGCAGGACAGAGATTGCTATGCTCTGGCTGGCAAAACGGACGTATCCTACAGCTTAAATACTGGGAACCCCCAGAAGGCAGACTAATGTCACAGAGCTATTCCGTATCCATAACACCAGTCCTGGCAAGCCACAGAGATCTAACATTTTCACACCCACTTATTTCCCTATGTGGCTGCATTTGTCTGCTTGGGGCTACTAGACTAAACATTTTTGTTGGCAAACTCTGCTTGTTGATGTTTCTAACTCCCATTTAAAGAGCAAGTAGAAAACCAAACCTTTTCCTAAAACTATTATGAATAATTAGAAGACCAGTGAACTATGGAACAGGAGCTTAGAGGAATATTCATACTTCATGAAGGGTCCACAAGCACTGCTAATTAACCCCCATTAACATGAATCTGTCACTATCGGCTTCTGCCAGTTAACTTCCTTGACCTTCTCTAGCCTCCACCTTGTTACTCTATGGTGCGAGTCAAGATAAGAGACTCCAGCTGTTGTAAGCTGACAGGGGGTAATTTCCATTTGGCCTTCATTAAGGGACAGAAAGCATCATTGAGACCAAATGTACAAGCCAGACTAGTGGAGGTTATAAAATATTCAAGTGGCACACATTTTTCCCTTTCATCTGACAGTTGGAATTAAGAAACTATATATCAGCCTGAGCCACATAAAACTTAAACAGAAGAGAGGGCATTAGAATGTGACTTTGTGAATAGACTGCCTTCTGTCTGCTGAAGTGCTCCTTCGTATAGAAGAAATAAGCCAGCTCAGGTGATGATTTTGGAGAGCTGATGAAAAGTTGTGGGACTTTGCTGCTTCAAGTAGTCACATAAATTAGTCATGGAATATGAATATGGTAATATCTCCAATTATAAACAAGGATTCTTTGTTACTTCAAATGGGAGGAGAAGATTAGAAAATAATGTTTGATAAATAAACAAATGCATACACAGCCAGTGTGATGTAGTGTATAGAGTGTTGGACTAGAACTCAAATTTCTGTTTGTCCATGGAAAGTCACAAGGGAGAGGGGAACACAGATAAAACCACTCCTTAAATATCTTACATAACTTAAAAACCCTAAAGGGATTATCACATATTTGGGTGTAACTTGACATCAACTCAATCTTACTGTCATCTAAACTCCAACCACCACTAACAATGAAAGTTCTCAAGCACCTCTTCTAAAATGAGACTTTACTTAAAAGGGAAGGACTTTTTTTAAAAAAAAAACCTCTGGAAGGGGCCTTCACCATTCTGAAATCAAGCAACTATGTTCTATTTCTATTCCACTATTTGTACAAATGATGTATGCTAACTGCCATGATAAATCAGAGGCCAAGCCAAAGTCATATACTGTATTGCCAGCTCTGTGCAGCCAGATGAACCTATGATGATGACAATCATGGCATGACAAAGGAAGCATATCTCATCTTGTCCCGAACAGCTGGCAGTTACAGCTCCTCTGAAAACAGGCATTCCATTCATGTCCACCCATGCTAACCTTCTCTATATGAGTCCAATTTAGGTACCTGTGCTGTTAAAGCAAGCACATTAATACCTATCATACTGAGAATCACCAACTTAAGGTTTTCTCAGTGACTCATATACCTGGTAATTCCCACAAACTCTTATATGAAAGAACATTTACTTATGTTTGTACTAATCCTATGGACCAGATCACTTTCAGTGGATAATCTCAAACTCAAATATTTTGACTGCAAGAGAGAAAATGCTTTTTCTATTCTCTCTCTCTCTCTTCAGTCTTTATATACATCCTATTGTGTCCGTGCCTGTATCTTTTTCTATGTTAGAAAGTCTAGAGACTTTAAGCTTTCTTTATAGATAATCTACTTGTCACAGGGTAGACTGAGAAACACTCTACAATACTCTTCTTGCAATGGACCTATGTTTAAAATATAGGTGCCACATCAGGTCCTGATAGCCTATGCAACTGTTTTGGAATCCTTATTAAGGACATTATGTGGGAGAAGAAGACCCAGTTCCTACTGATTCATCACTGCAAGGGCATTTACTACATTATGCTAATTATTCTACTGTTCCAACAGAAACTTTCACACCACAGCTGAAAAGGCCGGAGAAACAGAACACTGTAGAAAAAGTAAAGCAGCATGTTTTCCACTGAACACTCAGGATACCAAAAGCACCAACTGTGTCAATGACTAGAAATCCCCGTTGCAAACTCTGAGGTGGGTAATACACACACAGCTGGCTAATGAATTGGTCAAATCATTCCTCTATATAGGAGATTATAAAAGCTGGTGAACATTAACTATACCATGCCCTACGGCCACGTTTGTGCTTGGATAGAAACTTTTCTCTAGTTAGCAAATTATGCAGGCTTGATCTCATTTTCCTAAAGCCAAATATACAAAATGCCAGGGTCTCCAACCAAGAACAAAGGCTTATACAAAACATATTTACTGCAAGAACCATCAGAAATCTAGCTACTCGAAACCAGTCAACTTAAAAACAAAGATCCACAGAAAAAATTTTCTCCGTCCACAGTATTTACTGTTTTAGACCGTATGGACTCTTTTCTTCTTCAAAAGAAAGAGTTCAATGTGTTTAAACATTTGTAGGTGCCCTCCAGATACAATGAACTAGAGTGCTCACAGCTCTCGAGACAGGAGGGTGAATGGGGATGGTGTAAATTGTAGTGCAACAAGCCTGGAATGCACCAGATTGCGGAAGGTTGGGCAGAATAAAACTTTATTTGAAATTTGTTGTGTTTTCTGACATACTCACTTCTTTCATCCACAACAACTTAGGTGGCTGCATCTCAACTGACATTGCACCTCCAACGTAATGCAAGACATTGTGCTTTGTCCCATTGATACGTGCTACTTGATCAGCTGCTCGGTGGTCCATCCACATGATGATGTTTCTGTTGCGTACTCCTTGTAAAAGCAAAGAGAAGTTTGGATACATTTTTGTTTAGTTTAGATACATGTATGCATCCGTGCGCGTGTACACAGCGCGTGTGCACTGGAGATGGCATTTTTGTTGTACAGAAGTACAATGACAATAAGCGTGCGCATGTACACGCACACACACACACACAGACACACACACAATTTACTTAAAACATGTGTATCTGCCTTTCTTCCATCACAGAACTCAAAGCCATGTACAAAGGTTCTCTGGTGATCTCTCATCAAGAGACTTAATAATAATAATAGTAATAATTTATTGTCATTGTAAGTATATACACATACAACGAAATTCACAGACACCCAGAGACCAGACACATGCACACACATAAAATTCCCAAACACTCCCCACTGCCCCTATTTTAATAGCTCTCCTTGTTTTAATAGCTTTCCCTTAGTATTTGTCTCTCCTTTAAGATGTTTCTAGCCAATTCCTCTTTACATTAATTTCATTTTAATATGGGAAATCTTTTTGTTCTCTTCGTTTATTTTATCTTTATGTAGCTAATATGTTCATATGCCACCAAACAGGCAGAAGACATAAAATATCAAATAATAACAATAACATTAAAGATTTACAAAAATAAAATAGAAATAAGTCAGCCCAAACAGTGTCAAAATGATAAAAAATGAATGTTAAAAGCCAGAAATAAAAATGTAACAGTAAAAAGTAAGAAGAAGAAGAAAAAAACAGCATTGAATGCCTCTCAAAACAAGATCTTAGCCTGGACCACACAGTAGCAGAGACTCCACTGGGCAGATTTCAGTTATTTAAATGTCTTACCTTCAGCATTGACTGCCAAGGGTTGGAAACGGCTGTCTAAAACAACAAGGGAACAGGTAGCATCAAAGCCAAGTCCTCGAATCTGGGAAATATCTATCCCTTGGATAACTTTCTGTGAAGCACAAAGAAGATATACACTGAAAACATTATCACATGCATGCACGCAAAAATAGGAAGACCTAAAGAGGCTTACAAACAAGCAGTTTGGATGGAAATACAACATTGTTTTTTTTTAAACAAGACTTATCCTTTAAGCACCTCAAATATAAATAAGAACATCAAACCTTTTGTAAAACCACACAAAAAAGACAGTCCCTGGCATCAGTTCAGACCACCTATTTATCTAGTCCAATGTTGTCTACTTTTAGTGGCACAGTTCTTCAAAGATTCAGGCAGAGAAACTGCTCCATCAGTGCTAGCTGGGAATTTATTTTTATTCATTGTGCCCCCAAAAAGTTGGATTCAAGATCTTCCAAAATCTTCTTCAACTGTTATACTTATTTTAAATCCTTTCAGAATTACATTATGCAGACATTGATGGATATATTTTAGGGCATCAGTGAAGCCAGAGAGCAAACAGTCAGTGTCATTTCCATCTATTCTTATTATGGCCCTGGGTGCTGAGGTTGTTTGCGAAGTTCTTCTTCTGCCTTATTATTATACCACTATCTTCATTTTTAGGGGACGTGGTGGCGCTGCAGGTTAAACGGCAGAAGCCTCTGTGTTGCAAGGTCAGAAGACCTGCAGCTGTAAGATCGAATCCACGCGATGGACTGAGCCCCCGTCACTTGTCCCAGTTCCTGCCAACCTAGCGGTTCGAAAGCATGCAAAATGCAAGTAGATAAATAGGTACCACCACGGTGGGAAGGTAACGGCATTCCATGTCTAGTCGCACTGGCCACGTGACCATGGAAGATTGTCTTTGGACAAACGCTAGCTCTATGGGTTGGAAACAGAGATGAGCATCGCCCCCTAGAGTCGGACACAACTGGACAAATTGTCAAGGGGAACCTTTACCTTTACCTATCTTCATTTTTAGAACTAGACTCACTGTTTTCAATTATTATTTCAATTATTAAATATTAAATTCCACCTTTCTGTCAATGATCCTCAAATTTAAGATCAGTTGATAAAAAAACAAGATAAATGTCAAAAAAATATACAGAAGCATCACTAATTCAGCTTACACTAATTGACTTTGTTGAATATATTTTACACAAGGCAAACAAATGAAGTTGGAAAGACATGATATGAGGTATACTCCATTTCTGACAAATCTCCATCTTCACTACAAGCATTTTGCCAACATCCCCACTCTTTCTCAATAAACAGTTATCAGTGGCCTCAGTCATTGGAAATACGTATCACAAATATAATGGTTTGATTAGATATGGCAAGAAAGAATTACTTCATGTTTTTTTAAAAAATCCTTTCTTACAATAAGTCATGCTTCCGTGAAATAGTTTTCTGTAAGAGTAATGTAATTTCACTGATTTTTCAGCATAAATACTTGAATCCCATTGAACTCAATGAATCATCAGGAAAAATGAGAAGCCAGTATTTATTTTGCCATTGCACTGAAACGAAGTAAAGGAGAACATTTCAATATGACTGAAGCAAAGTCAAGATGATGTCTGCCATTTTGACCAGCCCTAGTTTTATATTTTTTTATTTTCTCATGTCAACATGCTTTTGTTCTTCCATGTCAACTCATCTGTATATACTGGAAAACATCTGTAAAAATTAAATAGGCAGAAAGGGAATGGGATCTAAGCATGTGACGAAAACAAGTACTACATTTTGTTATTCACGTAGCTGTTGCTCTGGCCCCACCCCCATCTTCTACCGCCTCCTCCAAGATACTTGCCACAGAGCATGGCTCATTAATGTTTGAAAAGGCTGATCAATAACAAGAGAGTGGTGAACTGCTCCACTACGAATTACCAGGCAGCTTATGTATATTTAAAGAGTCAACCTCAGAATACTGAGCAGTCCAAGTCCAGAGCTTTTTCACAGAATGCTAAAGGGCATCTCACCCTGATGCTCACTGCCAATCAAAGTCATAATATCAACACAGAGACACAAAGATCATTTTTCCTGATTAACAAACCAAACACAGCAGACAGACTGGAACAAAAGTCTTTTATTTTTCCCTACACAAGGTAAATGTCAACTCTTCTCAGTAGGGAACCTAGACCTGGAAAGTTATTTCTTTTAAAAATTAATAACAATTAGTTACAATTATAGCTTCAAGCCTCCCCAGGTTTTCTAACTGTTTCAGTTACAATTTGTTAAACTCAATTTTTATCCCATTTCTTAATCAGTAAAAAGATTGCTTTTAGTTGCTTAAAAAAACTCTGAATGGTCCAAGATGTTGTCGGCCTGTAGTAGCCTGTAGTACAAACTACACTCTTCTTCATTTTTGCTTGAACATCAACAACAGCCTTGAGCCCATTAAAGGAAAGAGAGGATATGAAGATAATAAAAAATATAAAATTCAATGTATATGTAAATATGAAGTATACATGATATTCTCTAATGGCGCCACAGGCAAGTTCCCACCACCACTACTTCTGATGATGACTTCTTATTTCCCCAGTATTCTGTGTCACCACTTATTTCCCTTATGCAAAAATGCCACAGAAATGCCAATGAAACAAGGGAATACTACCAAAGGAACGGCCATACTTGCTTCCCAGATTTTGCAGGAAGCCAAAGATTTCCCAAACTAAATTTTAGGCAGAGTTAACATAAAAATGGAACACTTTATTCCCAAGACTAGAACAAGATGATAAACCATTCTGAGGTAGGTTCCTCACCACTTTCAGCAAGTGTTAAATTTATATCTACTTTAAACTGTTCCTGAGCTTTATCAAAGTCCCTTTCACATTCGCACCATATGTAAACTCATTCTGACTTCCTGTATCATTCCCACAACATCCAAACTTTCTCAAAACATACTTCTTTAACTGAGACAAAGAAAAAGAGGGGGCAGACACTAGAGCCTTATATCACATATGCTTTAAAAATATACTACAATGTCTAGAAACTTTAGTCATAGGCAAATGGAAGGCATATGCTTAGGCAAATGTATAGGGGTTTGGGGGGGGTAGGCTATTGATTTCCCTCTCACATACACACACTCACATTAAGGAGCTTCAGTCTCTAATGCAACATCTTCTTAACTTTCTCTCCATTTCCCACATACATTTCTTCTTTACAATTTGTGCCAATACACAGCATCATCTTCAAGTACTTCACTTAGTGCTTTCCCTCCCCTCGCAATCTACTACACGTTAAACTTGAATATTTCTGAACAGTTGCTTGTACTAACTTCTTATGGGAAATTTAAAAACAGATAATTGACGTTTTGTCTCTGGTTTCTCCCGTAAGCAAAATTTTGGCCAAAATCCTACTATGAAACCCATCATGCATAAGGGAAATCAAATGAGTAGTTTTGTGGTCTGCCACATGTCCACTGCACAACTGATTGTGAGCTCAGCAGCACAATCAGGGGGCAACCAGGCACACAACAGACACATAGCAAACTACCTACCATTGCATGCACAATAACCAATTACGTGAATAAAACTGGAACTGGGCCTTTATCATCTTTTGCCCATTGGATAGACCAAACGTACTTCTCCCCCCAACAATTGTGAATCTGAAACAACAGGTAAATTTATTTATTTATTTTATTTATAACCCGCCTATCTGGTCGGTTGAGACCACTCTAAATCTAAACAACAGATATTTAAAAGGGTCCGCATACTCTCACTCTCCAATTAAATCGAGATACAAGCTGATAATATTTTATTTCCAGTTTTTCAGCAGAATCCTTTCACATTTTGTATGAGACAAAATGCAAAGAAGGAATCCTGCTAGCAACTGAAAGGTAATCAGCAGAGACATACATAAAAAAGAGAGATGTAACTGTGGGTGGCATAAGGCATATATATCAAAAGCTGCTGCCAAACTTTGAACCTAACATTGTGGCCCATTATACAGACGGATCTGAATAATGGAATAGGGAGGCCCACATTGTGAAAGAGGTAGACAAGAGATCGGCTAATAAATGTCACCGGTTATTTTAGCCAGCTTACAATGTCATAGCTGCGGCATGTCTGTATGAGAGAAACAGTCCATAGTGACAAAGGCAGCAGAGAATTGTCCAGCTTCATTAGATAAGCTGGCTCACAGTTAGTAGCATGCAATTCACAGTAGATGTCAACGTCTGTACCTTTGTGACTGTACAACAAGCAGCCCAGATGTCATCAGAGGATTGCTCATAGTGGTCTGGTTGCGGTGCCCAAATTTGAATTGGCTGGTCTGCATAAGCCACTAGTGTCCCAAACTGGTCTACCACAGCCGCACGGACACTCACTGTGCCAACGTCAATTCCAACGTAGTAATTTACTGGTTCCAGGTCCTTGCTTTGCATTGTGAGCAGACCTTTGGAGGACAGGAGACAAAAATTGGATTTTAAAAATACACTTCACTGAAAGAAGGCTTCACTGTTTAAGGGCACTGTTCACTTCCACAATTTAGCCTTACCTAACAAAATATGTTGTTTGAGAACAGGTGGCAGCTTCACTCTCCTACACCAAAAATGCTGCAAGTTGAACACAATAGCAGCACTTTCTCCATTCATGGCACAGAACTTACCTTATGAAGTGCTTGAAGATATTTACTAAAAATAGGATGGGACATAAGGCTGACAACATACACAAAAACACTTTCTATACACTCCACCCCCAAACAAGTGATAAAAGTGAAGGGAAAGAAAAGACCAGAGAATAAAGGGAGGAGAAAGCAAGCAGCTATTTTGTAATCCAGGAGCAGGGAGGGCTTGGTCCTGTGGAGAACATGAGGTCCAACAGGCTGAAGTTCCACAAGGGAAGTAGAGGGAGATAACAACAGATGTTTTCCTGGCCTACAAATTATCCTGTCTTGGCAGATGACACTTAGCACCTCTTTTCTTCTCCATTCAGGAACACTTACAGTAGCAGAACTCACACAGGTGCTAGTTTTTATACACCCCTACCCAACTAGGTAGTAAAAGTCAGGAGGAGGGGAAGAGAAGTACAGTACTACTTGGCAAAGGAAGCCAAATGTAACAGTAATGTATCTGAGTTACAATCCCCACCCCCTTGAAAGAACAGTGATTGGAAAGCCCTTTGTTAAAAAGTGCCCTCAGATTAGAAGATAGAGACCTGTCAGACACTCAGCCCAACTCTCACCCCCCCAAGTATTTTCACAAAAGCAAAGCCTAAAATATGCTATTTCTGGATGCAAGTAATTTGCCTCCATGAAGCACAGAGTGATTCTGGCTGGTTTAGAGAGAAGCCCACTTTAGCTCCGAAAGTGCCAGACTGCTCTTGAAGAAGTCCAGTGTATGTAGTGATTCTGGATGCTCTCGAGTCCTTACTAGATCCATCAACATTCTAAGCCCCTGCATAATCCGTATAAAGTGAATCAATTAGGTATTTTGCTGTGGCAGCGCAAGCATGGTGTGGTACCTACACCTAATTCGTAAACTGCACTCTGTCACACTTACTATGTTTCTAATCTCTCAGTCTGAGTTGGACGTGAAGAAATGTGATTCTGTTTGTGGATGCCTCCAACAATTTGTGACCTAAGAGTTGTTTTTATAATGGAACTTAGCACAGTATGTAAAAATAATACACAGTGATTTATCATCATTTTGTATCACTTCCAACGAAAGCTTTCTGTGTTCCTCCTGTAACTCAATTCCTACAAAAACATTATTTGATGGTATCAGCTACATCTAATATTTCATCTAGAGGACATCTGGATCCACAAAACAGTGATGCATTCACCAGTGTGACTTATTCTCGGGGGACCACAAGAACCATATTAAATCCTAAAAACTGAAATCTCAAGCAGACATCTGCTACAGGATGCAGTCAACAAGCATCAGAAAACATTAATATCTGGAAAAACTAAAAGACACAAAAAGCACACTAAGACAGTAAGTCCTCTGAGTAGGTGGCTCTTTGGACTTGTAACTAGGTGTATATCTTCTCTAGATGGAATTATGCTCTACCAGAAACAACAGTGCATAGCTTAGGGATACAATTTGACTTAGCCACATCACGGGAGGCCCAGGTAGCCTAAGTGGCTAGGAGTGCATTTTACCAGCTACGGTTGTTTTGCCAAGTACATCTGTGCCAAACAGGTTATAATCTGACCACAGTGGTTCATGCTTTCAAAAACTCCTGATCGAATTACTATACTGCACCACATGTACATGTACAGTACTCGATGGTGGTCTGAAAAGATCAGCTAGTAGAAAACAAAACAGCCAATACTGCAACCAGTACAGCCAGAGGGTACCATTAAACTAGTTGTAATGGCTGCCTAGTGTTTCTAAGCCCAAACCACAATCCTGATGCTAATGTCTAAAGATATAAGCAGCTTAGTACCTAAACATGTACAGCAACATCTCATCTTCCATTAGGTTGCTAATGACATAAAGTGACTGAGGAATGCTCTTTGAGAATACATTGACTGAGGAATGCTCCTCTCTAAAAATCTTGGATAATGAGCTCTATCAACAAAGAAGAGAATGTTCTCATTTATGATGCTCCAACTATGGAATATCTTCCTCACACAGGTGCAACTCATGCCAAAATTACAATAATTTTGGCACCTTTTAGTCTGGCAAAACATTTTAAAGCTGGCTAGCTATCTTTTTTTTAAGGCTGCTTTTCTTTGTCTTGTTGACATGACTGGAGCTTTATCCTACATATTTTACAGTTTTTATTACATTTGTGTACACAGACTTGCTATACGTTCGGATGAAGCAGTTTTTCATTTTTAATAAATCATGGTAAAAATTGATTAAAAGAAGAGTGAGGGAGTGGGGGTGGGTCCAGCCTGCATAGCAACCATGCCTGCTGCACTAAGGATAAGTGTTTCCTCAAGTCAGAAAACCACTCACAAGCTCTCTGTGTGCAATAATAATAACACTTGTGTGCTCTCAAATAAATTCTGACTTTTCAGGGTCTTCTAGGCAGGAAAAACTCAGAAATGGTTTGCCAGTCCCTTCTTCTGGGAACATACTGAGACCACACAGTGGGGAATCAAACTCCCAACCTCTGGTTCCACAGTCAGATACCTAACTTACTGATCTGCGTAAATGTAACATCAAAACATGAATTGTAGCATGAAATGAAAGAGCTCAAAATGGTCAAACCATCAAATAATTGATAAGAATCTCTTTCCATTTATTATGCTCCAATACAGAAGTGCCCAGGTCTCTGAACCAGCATAACATCACCATCACAATCAAAAATATATTTAGATACACAGGACATTTCACAGATACAAATAGAGGGAAAATAAGACTGTAAGATCATTTGATTTTTTATACAAATTACGGTGGAGTGGAGAATTATCTTCAAAAGTGTCAATATCCATACATACCACAAAACGAAAAAAATGGACAGTACAATTCAATTTATTATTTGACATGGAAGAGCTAGTAAAAACTCCCATTGGTCACTAAGGAGACTGTTTAAAAAGAAACACAACAATAGCTTACTTAAGGAATATCAGAAGGGTCAAAACTATTACAGGACTTCCTGTATTCACCAGATCAGTACCTGCAGTTTGCCACAGTCCTATACAGAACATATAAAGACATTCCCTTGTGGCCTTTTTTCCGTCTCTTTATGTTGTATATGAGGTTCCCTTAAACCCACTATTTCAAGTATTCACAGTAGATCATGGAACCAATCTCCAAAAGATATGGGCGTCCTACTGCAGTAATCAAAGGTCTGCAGTGATGATAAATATTTATATAGTCCATCCAACAACAATCTGAAGAAATATTATTAAAAATGTACTCAGAGGAAGCAAAATACTTTCCATTTTTTGTTGTTGTTTAGTCGTGTCCGACTCTTCGTGACCCCATGGACCAGAGCATGTCAGGCCCTCCTGCTTTCCACTGCCTCCCGGAGTTGGATCAAAGTCATGTTGGTCGCTTCGATGAAACTGTCAAACCATCTCGTCCGCTGTCATCCCCTTCTCCTCTTGCCTTCACATTTTCCCAACATCAGGGTCTTTTCCAGGGAGCCTTCTCTTCTCATGAGATGGCCAAAGTATTGAAGCCTCAGCTTCAGGATTTGTCCTTCTAGTGAGCTCTCAGGGTTGATTTCCTGCAAGATGGATAGTTTTGTTCTTCTTGCAGTCCAGGGGACTCTCAAGAGCCTCCTCCAGCACCACAATTCAAAAGCATCAATTCTTCGGTGGTCAACTTTCTTTATGGTCCAGCTCTCGCTTCCATACATCACTACAGGAAAAACCATACCTTTGACTATGCTGACTTTTGTTGAGAATGTGATGTCTCTGCTTTTTTAAGATGCTGTCAAGGTTTGTCATCCCTTTCCTCCCACACAGCAAACGTCTTTTAATTTCATGTCTGCTGTCCCTATCTGTAGTGATCATGGAGCCCAAGAAAGTAAAATCTGTCACTGCCTTCATATCTTCCCCTTCTATTTGCCAGGATGGGACCAGTGACCATGATCTTAGTGTTGTTGTTTTTTGTTGTTGTTGAGCTTTCCATTTTAACTTTGTGCAAATATGGCAGTTTTTTTCTCATTGACACCGTGATGAAAGAAAAGAGGAGAATTATTCAAAACTCTTTCATTTATCTGAACATCCTGAAATGTTGTTCACACAGAATATAAGCAATCATAAGGCTGACACAAACAATGAATGCCACTTGCCATCCAAAATAGCATGGAAGATCCAGACACCTCGCTTTCTCCTGAGATAATTACCAGAGATTTTCTTCCACTTCCCTTCATTTGTGACAGAAGTGTGGCAAGACTAAAAATAAAATAGTGTGATTAGTTTCAAGTAATGATGTGCTTTAGATTCAGAAATTATTTGAAATCTGAAACAAAGCAGTGGTACTTGTTAATTTTCAAACTGATCTGAAATGGAGCAAGGAACCTCCAAGTGGGCTACAATCAAATCATGGCTCTGTGAAGCACTGGATATTGTGTTGGCACTTTAGATTAAAAAACTGAAGGGAAATGTTTTTTTTAAAAAAAAGCACTCAGCACTTGTCAGTCTCATTAGGAAAATGAAAGTAAAATATTTGCAGAACTGGGAAGTTCAAAGCAAAGGGAGATGGACAGCTCCAACACCAATGAAAAGGCCAAGCTCTCCTGGATCTTGCCCTCCTGGAGCCTCTGGGAGGGCAAAGATCAACCAGACAAATTCATTTGTCCTATAATTGGCCACCACTGAACATTTGGGCAGGCCAAGAGAAAGGTATTGGTCTGTTAGAGATTGGTATTTGTTGGTTGTTGTGGGTTTTTCGGACTCTTTGGCTGTGTTCTGAAGGTTGTTCTTCCTAACGTTTCACTAGTCTCTGAGGCCAGCATCTTCATACCTTGCAGGTGTGGCCAGGTATATATTGGACCACAAAACGCAGCATCCACACCAGAATCAAAGAACATAAGAGGCACTACAGATTAAAACAAATGAAAAAATCAGCAGTAGCTGAACATGCCCTAAAAACAAGCTGGACATGGAATTCTATTTCAAAACACAGAAGTACTGGACAACACCAGTAATCATTATGTTAGACTGCACAGGGAAGCCATTGAAATCCACAAACACAGCAGAGCTTCAACAAAAAAGGAAGAAAGTTTA